TGACTATGTATGTCATGCCTGGTTACCATGTAATTGATTCAATTTCTTCAGGAATGGTTTGATGTGTTCTTCATATCTACACAGATGTTTATTATTTTTAATGTTATATTATTAAGAACTTACCACGTTATAAGTAGGCGATGATGACTTACTCGTACCTGTAATTCTGTTCACCGCTACATATAGCTGGTGTCCATAACAGCTGACGGCGTTTTCCTATGGAATTGTCGACCACTATGCAATTACGTAGCACTTATCGCTTATTAGGTAGCTACCTTGTGGATAACAGCTTTTGCATTATTTAAAAAGTAATTGTTAAGCGTGAGTTGGATTTATTTAGAGTTCAGTACATAGATTTGTTGTGCATTATTTTCGTATTTTTTTTATTTGTTTATACTCTTTATTGCACCTACTACAGCAAAAAAAAATTGAAAAATGAAAAAAGGAAAAATGGACCATTATTTAAAAGGACAATACGAAATTAAAGCGATAGATGGGATTGAGAATGGGACTTGAAGCAGGCAAGTGAATGAATGCTCCGAATGCAAGAGAGGAGTGATAATATATTTAATTTAGAATTTTGTTCCAAAAAATCTATCATCGTCAATTATTACAATACTAGCAAGGCTGTAAGTTGTTGATGAGTAACTCGAATAAAAAAATTAAAGCCAAGAGTTATCTCTATCACATCAACTTTTAAACAAAAAAAAAAACGCATGATAATTGGTCAATATTTTTAGGACACACGATACCACAGACAGACACATATTCAAGTCAAACTTTTAAATTATAATACCCCTCTTAATTTCATTCAAGTGATAGTTTTTAATTCCCCTTAGGATTAAAAAACCATTAAATATCGCATTAAATAGATGTATATTGAAATTATTTAAGTATTTTTATATATACATATGGTAACGTTTTTCCAGGTAGCTTTTTGTAGGTGTAATCAGACCAAGCTGCAGTTGTTCCTTTTGCTTTCTTTGGGGAAGTAAAGGGATACAGATATGCCATGGGAAATTGGTGTATCAGTCGTTCGGTCAGTCAGGGTACTAGAGATAGTATTACAATTGTCAAATACTTATTCTTCAAATGTTTAAACGCCCGTGTTTCTTTTAAAAGAGGTGTGAAACGTGTGTTAAAGCGTAGATTTACAACATGCTAATGTGCTAACTTAAGTAAACTATAAGCAAGTATAAACAACATAAATCAAGGTGAGTAACTCAATTGTAGGAATCCAGTTGAGTTTAATTTTCACGGTGACTACAAGTTGATGACCTTTGCGTTCTCAGTCAGTGACGAATTAGGTTTCTATGTTTACATATATATTACCTTTACATATACGTAATACTATAATGATCCTAAAACAGACTATTTTTGTGTTAAGATTTAAAAACGGTTACAGCAATTGGGATGAAAATTTCATAGTACCCACAAAATGTTGTTAATTATTTAAATAACCATCGCACCGCCCGCCATCGACAGGGAATTCATCCCTACACGCTTGAAGCTAAGTGGTCTCGGACAGCGCAGTTTCAGAGGAGTTTTCTCCTGCGTAGACTTAGATTGTAGAATGAACTACTTGCCGAGACTGCAGCATGGGGTTTTTCAAGATTTCTTAAGGGAGGGTCGGGGATGCGCACCTAGCACACCTGGTGTTTCAGACCTCCATAGGCTACTATAATAAATTATTTCATTTTTTGCCACCGGCAAACAAGCATACCGTACCGGTGGTTACCGTCCATTTCTTTATGGATGTTTTCTACAACAAACCATCCCAGACAAGAGTTATATGATTATTTTTGTGAATAAATTTCAATTCGCCACCTGGTATTTTAATAAATCTATAATGAAGGGCTGTGGTATCCATGATTTATATCACCACGTATACAAAACTGTTCCACGAATGGTTGTAGTGTCAGCAATAATAGACCACATTTCGCGACAATGAAACAGCGATTCTGCGTTTCATATTTCACCATGGGACAGAGGATTAAGCCAACAAGAGCAGATACACTTTGGTAGCAGCAACGACTGTAATTTAGTTCATTAAAATTGATTATAAGCATTTATATTGTTTTTATCAATCCTCCGCCTGGAATACAATATATTTATTTAGATTTATATTTTATATTTATTTATTTACAATATATATATATTTTATTCCAGGCATAGTATATTTATTTTATTTAAAGTTGTTGTATGGTTATCATCAATAGACAGCGTATACTAAGGTATACGCATACGAAGACGCGGGCACAACTTTGTGTCTAGTTCTTATATAAATATCTGATTTGTTGTAACGCTACTTTTCCACCAAGATAAACAACATGTACCTACTGGTTCCAGGAAGATGTAATGTGTAAATAATGTAAAATAATAGTTAATAGTTTAGTGTTACTATAAATCTGGTTGATTATTTCTTAGTACTTAGTAGAGATATAGAAACCGGTTTCCATCCACGTCATTACACACAATGTTATTATTGTGTATACTGATGTGTTTATAAATCTATGAACGGAACCAAAGTATATAATTTATATGGTCATAGTCATATGTTTCTTCCTTATCCCATTCTTTCGGGGTGGGCATAAATTATGTTCTATTCTTCTTATAAGGGTATACATATATATGTATACCTATAATTCTACATAAAATTCGGAATTTAGTATAGATACCTATAAAATCAAATAATTACTTCGTATTAGAAGATGTTTATTAAAATTTTCATTAATAAACAATATAGATGTTTGTGTGTGTTTACGTACTTTCGTGACGTTTTCAAAAATTGGTTTCAGGTTCGCGTCATTAGAACAACAAATATTATTAATGAAATCATTTGTACATATTTGAGTATTATATATATTTATTTTATTATTTTACACTCATTTATTGTTCTCATGAAGGCAATGTCGACTTTTATAACTTAGTGTTTACCTGTTCAGGTGTCCATTACTAAAAATTGAAATAGAGAATTAATCTTTGTCTTGTGGGAAAACATATTTTTGAAATTTATTATATTTATGGTTTCTTAATCCAAAAGATAAAAAACAGCGGCGAATTTTTTTAAAGGTCACAAAAATAGGGAATCTTGTCATTCTTAGAAAATGTAATCAAAATTGGTTTCAGATATGGTAAAAAGTGTTGCTTACATGGTAAAAAAATTTAATCGAATTGAAATCCAACTCTGTTTGCAGTGGGTTAATAAAGATTTCTATGCCATGTTCTTATTAAAACTTGCTTGACCAGTGATTAGACGAACTGGGTATGCGCAATTCAGTGAACAGTTATATAACGCGAATCGTAACAAACCAGTTAAGTATATTTACGTCAATATCTGATCTTTTATATAATGCAACTGGTTCATTTTAACATTATTTTTGCTTACGGTGCAGCGGAGGCTATGGAAAACTATGAATAAAAATTTCATCTCTATATACCTAATCATCTGATACATAGTATCCTTTAAGCCAAAAGCAATTATTTGCAAGATGATTCTCTCAATTAGTACTACACAACGTACATTACACTGTCATAATCTACATTTAATTGCGTCTTATTTTAACAATATACTTTTATACTCCTTTTAATATAATGAAGAGAGAGAGAGTGAAACAGCGGAGTTTGATATGAAAGTTAACTCAAAAAACTTGCACCGATTTTAAAAATGTTTCAAAGGACTATGTTTCTAGAGTGTATATAATATATTGAAAGTCATAAAGTATATAATAAAGAAAATAATAATATAGAAAATTACTGTATGCAACTGGGCGAAGCCCGTACGGGCTAAAAAATAACTTTATAAAATAAAAATCTATCGCGGTAACGTGGAGTTTTGTTTTTGTTGGGCAATATTTACGCACATATTTTCCACAAGTCGAATACTGTACGGTTAATTTTCATTAAACCTAGCTTTAATTGGGTTATCGTTAAATATTTATGCAGTAATTATCTGGTATTGTACATGCATCGTTTAGAAGAGAAAATGCATGTAAGTACTCAGTATACCATTTATATGTATAAATTTTTATGAGATGGCCCCGGAAAGAAATGATAAGATAGGTGTGATGGCGATATATAATAGTTCCTTTATTTTTTTATATTTCGATGGTGGCAAACAAATGTCTTCATTAGGTGCCCTCTTACAAAAACATATTGAAATTATTAACAATTATAGAGATTTTTTGCAATACCTTAGTAGGTATTGCAAAAAATCTCTATACCTTAGTAGGTAACCTTAGTTCTGCTATTTAATTTTGTCTTACTGTATCATTGGATTCAGCGCCATCTGTATTTTTGTTGCAAAACTATTTATGAAACTTATACTTAAATAAATAGAAGTATACCCATAGATGTCACTACTAGTAACTTTGATGCGTTCATGTAACAATAATATAATAAATAGATAATATAATTTCTGAGCAGATACATATAAAGGGAAATGGTTTGTTCTACTATAATAAATGTTGACTGTGCCACCTGTCTGATTTGTACACCCATGTCACCCCACCTGTTTGCTGCCTATTCTGATTATTTAGGTCGTTATATATTTTTTAAGTTGTATTTGATAATCAAATATAGAAAAAAAAATGTCCAATTAGCTGATACATTTAGTGTTAAAAATGAAAAGAACGCAGTGCAGTTACTATCAGGTACGCTTTATTTTCACTCATCACGAAAAATACCTACACTGAAAAATAAATGGTAAAATAAATTGAACCCTTAGAAAAAGATTTATATAAATATATTTAATTTGAGAAACAATTATTAATATAGCGCAAAAATACAGCATTGATAATATCTGATGTATACTATTGAAATTAGCTCTCTATTTATTGAAATTAAAGCTACTTATAAATAAATAAAACAAGGTCGGATTAGTTGCACAATTTATAGCGTATAACTAAATTGTATACCGGGAAAATGAGGAAAAAAATGAAGAAAATGAATTTTATTTTACATTTTTATTCTTTGAGTACACGGGTTAGAACCACCTAGTTTTAATATAATTGATAACTTATTTTTATAATATATTTCTCTATTATACTCTAAATTTATTCAGAATGGCTTATTATTGGATTCTTGACAGACATCATAAATCTTCACGGACTCTTGTATCGGATTGTACTAATCCATCAACTGCCATTTGAGAATATTTCGCCAGAAATTGATCCCAGAATTGTTCTCGTTCACCCAAAGGGTTCTGTTTCATACGTAGCGCTTTATTGATGTGCAAATAGTTCGTACTGTCGCTATCTTTGGCCACAGGCTGCCAAATAAAGCCTTTTAACAATTTGTCTTCTTTTGAAGGTGTCGGATTACTGAAAATTAAATGAATTTATTATATTTAAGGTAGGATTTAGAAACAAAAATACGACGTAACAATTAAAATATTGTGGGCAAATTCTAAAGCAATTTTATAGTGCTGTTCGTGTCAATATGTAATATTTATATATGACGTTAAAATATGCAGGCATCAGTATATTTTATACTGTTATACGTACTTATAATTACGTAACGTAGAGAAAGAGTCTTACCTCGTTTTGGCGAAATTCGTCCACATACGAACCATTTTCTTTAACACTCTAATTTCAGGTTGTTCGCTTATTAGATTATTTAAATGTTTATAATTGTTGATGATCCGAGAACACATATGTAAATAACATATTTCATCAGTAATAGTAGCACCCCAATTTTCTATACTCGATCTAGCATGGTCAGATATGTATAAAGTATTTTCATTTAGAAACCCAGCATAATCAAACATGTAATAAAATACAGGAGATTTGAGATCAGTAGCTAATTTCCTTGCAGCATAATTTATGGCGTAATCTTGTAGCACGTCGCCGATATATACTGCATACTCTAGAATATTATTGTAATGCATATCACCGTCTTCAAAATAGAAATGTTTGATTTCTTTTATAGCTTCTTTAAATGTGGAACTCTTGCGATCAAATCTGAATCCAGATCTTATAGGAAACTGAAAGAAAAAATCTTGTCCTAGATCCGTCACTAAACGAGGCTCGAAAATATAATGTGAAGCTAAATCGAGACCTTCTCTAGAATTGAACCCTATTAATATAGGAACATCGTTAATAATTGTGTTAATTTCTGGGAGCGATGTTATTACAGGATCATGGTTTTCTGTTTCTATAACCGGTGAATATGGAACGGAGCTAAGCTGATATTTTTCCATAGCATCATTATTTATCGCATCTGCTTCTTTCGCTAATAACTTGTTAACGTCTATATTTTGAAATTCTTTCAATAATGAAGAACTATCTTCAGCTGTTATATTTACAAGTTCAGCAAGTTTAAAGGCGACAGTTTTTGAATTTTGCGCAAAAAATATACTTTCCATCGCAGTTCCACTTTGCATGATAATACTATGAAATAAGCCTTTTGCCTGTTTACTATACATTAGTATATTAGCTAATATTGCACCACCTCTATTGCCCATTAATGTTACTCGATTCGGGTCACCACCAAAATATTTTATATTTTCTTGTATCCATTGTAATCCAAGAATAAAATCTCTTATTCCATTATTACCAATTATAACTTCGTCGTCAGTAGATAAATATCCCATTAAACCGAAACGATGGTTAATTGTAACAACAAGGACATCTTCCTCCATAAAAAATATAGGAGAGTATGTATCAGTTCCATTGAATCCAGTTCTAAAGTTATCATTGTAATCAAACACAACGACGGGTTTAGAGCCTTGTAAGTTCGGAGTGAAGACGCTGAGATAAAGACAATCTTCCTCACCAGATATCCCGAAAGGTTCCCCTATTCGCATTCTAGAACTGTATTGTAAACATGTGGGTTTGTTGTTGTAAGCTTCATATGTTCCTTTCCAACCCGTAAACGGCACAGGTGGCTGAAATTACATTTTTATCAATTACTTATTTATTATTAGCAATTTTCATGCATAGACTATGTAATCTAGAAACACTAAGACGTATGACTGTTATAATAATAATAATAATTATAATAGTCATATGAAAAAAAAATAAAGTCAGTCAGTTAAGCAAGATTAAACATTAATGAATTAATTTTGAAGTTAGCTATCGATTTCGGATATATTTTACCGGGAGAGCGAATTATTTGTAGTCACTAGGTCTGCATAAGATATAATTTGATTTTTACAATAATACTGTATTAGAATGGGAGTTATTAGATATTACATTAAATTATTTATTATTATTGAGAGTTATTACCTTAAATCTTAATTTGCCAGTAGGTGGTGTAGCATATGGTATGCCTATAAATGTAAAATAATCTTCGTTCTTAAAAAAAGTTTTCTCCACTTTTCCTGACAATCTGAGTTTCTGCATTTCTATTTCTATGGTCTGGTTAGCAAATGTTTGAGTCAGTATACTTAATGCCGAACAGAGAGCAGCAAAGAAAACTATCCTAGACATTTTAAAGTTATTCTGAATATATCGTTAAGTTTGAAATTATTATGTACAATTGGTAAACATTGTTCCTTTCACTATTTACAACTGAAGCAGTGCTCGTAGATAAGGTAAACTGTGGACGTGTATATGAGTTATCTATAACAGATAAGCCATAATAATTAGATTTCAGTTTATTATCTCTTTAACTGGGTTTTACAGTAATCCACTTTTGTTGTTATAAGGAAATACTACAGAAATTAGGAGTCACGTTAAAAATAAAAATAATTAGTAGTCAATTGTCTTAATATATAGTAATATACTATATATTATTAGATATATATTACGATTATATAAGACTATATTTATAACTTGAAGTACAATTTGTTTTATACGAAATATATTAGCTTCGAACTATCCTTATGTTAACAGACATTTTCAATATAATGGAAGATCTTGGTCTAGCGCTCAGCATACTTTACTTCCGATGTATTTTATATAATATATAAAATATGTATTTATAAAAAATAATGTATTTTTATCATTCCTCTTGTACCTATAACACAGGATTTGCTTAGCTTGGGACTAGATACCTGGGTTTAAGGGATTTTCTGTGGGTTTTTATTATTATTATGAAATATTAATTAGCTAGGTGTAAGAAAAAATAAATTGCATCTTGAAGTAGTGATAATTGTCATTACTTTCATTGCTGTGCCAGAAGTTAAATGTATTATTATAAATAATATTGAATATTCTATTTAACTAATATGCTTTTTTATATTCTACGGATGTTTTATAATAAAAGTGTTTTTAGAGTTGTTAGTTATATTTTATAATAAAAGATTAAATATTATTCACATACACTTCTATTTACAGTTCATCTTTATTTTTTGTATTATTTTTATTATCTGTAACTACACCATCAATAGCTTTTGCTTCATATTTTTGTAGAAAGTTATCCCAAAAGTCCACTGTTTCTTGATGAACATTGCTCTTCATTTGCAATTCCTCATTTATGACTAAACAATTTTTTTCGTTTTTTGAAGCTGGTTTCCACACAAATTGTTCCCCTGGTGGTGTTGGATTTCTGTAAAAAATGATGTAATAATTATCAATATTTCTTAGAATTTAAATATCATTATGAAAACATTATTTAATAATATATGCTCAATAGTTCACCCGATATACTGGATACTATATTTTATATATTAATGTATAGACAATTTGATAGTTATCGTCGCTTATATTTATTAATGTTACGTAATATTATTTACCCCGTTTTAGCAAAATTGGTCCACATTTTTACCATAGTATTTACTATTTTCATATCTTCAGAATCATCATCTTGTATAGCTTTCTTATATATTTTTTTGATAGATTTACAAACAAATAAATAGCAAAGGTCATCTCCCATAGTTGCACCCCATGTGCCATCAATACTTTTACTTTTTGATAAAACATCATTCTTTCTCTTATTTAGCTCTCCACTGTAGTCAAACATGTAGTAATAAACAGGAACGTTTGATCCGTTGATGTATTTTCGCACACCATAGTCTATGGGATAAAATGACATTACGTCTCCGATGTAAGTTACAAACTCCCCAGGCTTACTCACTTTTATGTACCCTTCATCAAAGTAGAAGTCCTTAACTTCTTGAATGGCATCATAGTAAACAGAACTGTGAATATCGAAATGATAATTGGTTTTGATTGGAAAAAGAAAGAGGAAATCTCTATCAGCAAATGTAAGGTATTGAGGCTTATGTAAATAACGTTCAGTAACCTCTATGCCTTCTCTGGAATTATATCCAATCATCACTGGAACATTAATATCAAATGGGGCTTCAGGTATCTTTGTGAAAACAGCACCTGAATGCTCATGTTCAACTATGGGACCAAATGGAAGTATGCCAACTTGTATAGCACGTGATTCGTCAGCGTGAACACAGCTTTCCTCTGCCACAGTTATATCAAGTGAGGATTTTGTGTTCAAACGTTTTAATAAATTAGAACTAGTAAAAACATTTTCATCTAGTTTTTCAGAAAGTTCGATAGCTCTTTCCTTGCGTTTGTCAACAATATTCAGCGAGTTCCACAGGTTGCCACTTTGTAATATGGCAGCAACGAACAATCCTCTGACTTTTGGAGTATGTAATAAAATATCTACTATGACGGCCCCACCATCGTATCCCATTAATGTAATTTTATTAGGATCACCACCAAATTTATTTATATTTACTTTGATCCAGTAAAGAGCTACAATAACGTCTCTAATACCGTTGTTGCCAGGTAAAAGATCATCTTCAAAAGACAAGAATCCTAATGCTCCAAGTCTATGGTTGACCGTAACTAAAATAACCTCTTCATTCATAAAAAAATCAGGACCATAGTCAATTGAATTATTAGATGACATTCTGAACTGTTCATTATGTAAAAATACTATTACTGGAAGGTTAACATCGTCATCTTCATGGGGTAGTGTTGGCGTGTGGATGCTTAAATACAGGCAGTCTTCACTTCCGCAATATCCAAAGTTTTTTGCGCCTCTAATTGGCATACGATTTTGAGCACAGGAGTTCTTTTCCTTTTTCACAGAAAGGATGTCACTCCATCCATTGTGGGGAAACGGTGGCTGGAAACGAAATATATATACTATACTACTATACTAACAATACTTTGATATTAATAAATTTAAATGGAACACACAAACGAACAAATGTATATGATGAACACATATATAAATAAATAGATCGAATAAAATAAGTATTTATATTTGTAGATAAACCAATATATGATATACTATATATATTTAAGTGAAGATGTAAAATAATAATTACAGACTTCTAAATTTATGCCAACCTTAAAACGGTAAGTAATTATATGCATTGAATCAGTTAAAAAATTGTTAATACTCGTATATGGTATATATGTTGTAAACGTGTACTGCAGAATAAATATATACTGTTTTATTTTTATGCTATATATCATTACATGATATATTTGCAACAGTCAATTTAAATTGAGCACAATAAATATATAATTTAAAATGCAAGAAATAAAATATAGATTATAAATGGTAATTGAAAATATAAAATAAATAAATTTAATATAATCTTACCATAAATCTAAGTTCACCAACTGGCGGTTCTGCGTATGGTATACCCATAAAAGAGTAGTACTTTTCATTTTCTAATATTGACTTCACTTGTATTCCACTTACTCTACCTGTACTAGTCTCTACAATGACATCTCCATTGCATATAGCTAAAGAACTTATATATAACAAGAGTATAAACGGAATAGCTACCATTTTGAAATATTAAGTTATTTTATGTTTGTTGTTATAGTTGTACTATTACATTTTGTATTACTTCATAACTGACGTGTCTCAACAAATATATTATCTTTTACAAGCTATCTGTTGTATTTAAGTTATCTATAGCAAGGATTGAAAGATAACCATACAGTGTTTATATGAGTTATTAATAAAATTTTTGAATAAGTACACGTTATTATTGTTATAGAATATATTACTTAGATTACATTACATATAAAAAATATAATACTATAGTTGCTATTTGTTAGTAGAGGACAGTTTAGAATTTAAGTGCTGTTGTCATCGTCGATCTTTTATTGTATTAATTTACTAATAAAGGTATAGCCTTAATTATAGGTAGGCTTTATTACAGAATAGCAGAGAGGGTGGACTCAACTCAATGTCTCCTCTTAGTTATAGACCGCTTTGACTCCATTATTACTTCTGAATTTTATTATAAGCTGCAATTGTAATAATTTATTAATTGAGACAAATAAAGTTGAAATATTATTATTTACTATTACTGTCTATTTTTTATTACGTAAGATTATCACATCATACATAATTACATTTTTCTATTTACATTTATTTTTTAGTTATTAAAGATTTAAAACGATAATTAATAGTTTATTTAGTTAGTTGAGTCGCACTCACAAATTACTGAACAAGTAACCAATACGTTTTATCACAAACTAAGTCTTCTGATATTTTTTTTATACCTGGAAATATCTCTGTAATGATGAGTAAGGGGCCAATTTAAAAAAGTATTTTATATAATACAAAAGAATCGTCACAAGTGGCTTAATCCGTATAAAGATATAAAGAGGCAATATGTAGCCTTTTAAAATATAAAGAAAAAGAATAAATTTTAACTATATATAAAATAACTTTTTCAAGTCGGTTCTAGATTATATTTTTTACGTCCTTTCATATAATATTTACTGCACATTATTTTATTGTAATTGTATTGTAAAAACTAATCAGAGTATTGTCATAATTCATCATTTTTATTTTTCTTTCCACTCACTATCCCGTTTACAGCTCTTTTCTTCCAGGTGTCAATGAACTGGTCCCAAAACTGAAACCTTTCCTTGTATAATTCAGTTCTGATTTTAAAGTTCTCATATATATGTAAGTATCTTTTAGTATGGATATCGTAAGGAGGCCATTTTAGATTTTCAAGTACAATATCACCTTCCGGAGCAGGATCTCTGAAACATAAATGAATTAATTTCCACCGTTAATCCAATATTAAGGTATTTCGTTATAGAAATTTGAAGCGGCGCGATATCGGATTTAGACGATGAATTTCAAATTAATTCATTGCTCATTAATATTCTATTTTAAAATGATTTGGCATCGTTTAGCTACCTACCCATATTTTGCGAAGTTTGACCACATTCTAACCATTTTTCTTTGGATAGTTCGTTCCTTAGACAATGATTTATGGTATTTCAAGTATTGTTTCTTTAAGCTCGGACACTTGAATAAATAACATAGCTCATCGCCCGTGGCAGCGCCCCATGTGCCGTCCTCGACGCTAGATAACTTCATCAGATTGTTCTTGTTTTCATTCAATTCACTGTAATAGTCGAAATAATAATAATACACAGAACTTGTTGTTTTATTGGCAAACATGTTCACTGTACTGTCGACGGGATAAGCGCTCAGTACGTCTCCTATGTACGTCACGTATTCTGCAATATTCTTTATTCTAACTTTCTTGTTTGGAAAATAAAATTTCTTTATATCATCAATAGCCGCGTAATATTCTTCTTGTATGGGGTTAAATTTGAAGTTCACTCGTTTTGGCATTAGGAAGGGAAAGTCCTTTTCAACAAAGCTAAGGTATTTTGGTTCTATAAGATATTGAAGAGACATTTCTAATCCCTCTCGAGAATTAAATCCAATCATAGTAGGAATCTGTATAGCTGCGGAAGAATTTTCTGGATATTCAGTTATAAGTCCGTCGGGTTGTGTCTCGACAATTGGACCGAAAGACAATACACTTCTTTGATTATCTTTATAGTAATCTTTTGGACTAGCATGGATATTTTTATATAAAAGATCTGAAGCGGGTACACCTCTTAAATATTCTAGTAATCTTTGACTACTGCTAGTACTTAATTTTAAGAGTTCGCCTAGTTGAAAGGCTCTCGCTTTCACCTCACTTTGCAAATAATTAGTCGATAACGCGGTGCCGCTTTGCATTATAGCGGAATGAAATAAGTCTTTTGCGTTTGAATGAATTATCAAATCAACTGCCGCAGCCCCACCATGCGATCCCATTAATGTGATTTTCTCTGGATTTCCTCCAAATCGATCTATATTATTTTTAACCCATTTCAAAGCTTCCACAACATCTTTTAATCCTGCGTTTCCCGGTAACGAGTTGTCTTCAAAAGAAAGAAATCCCAGCACGGATAATCTGTGATTGATCGTTACTACTATAATATCTTCTTCTATGAAAAAATCTGGTGCGTAGTCCTTAGTTTTGTTATAAGAACAAGTGAAATATTCATTATGAAGAAAAACGATGACCGCGCGTTTCTCGTTGTCTAATTTAGGAGTAAATATGTCGAGATATAAGCAGTCTTCTACGCCATAATGTCCAAGGGGTTGACCCTTTTTTACGTTGATGTTAAATTGGATGCAGGCGCTTTTTTCTTTCGTAGCGATGAGCACTTCGTCCCAGGGATCGATGGCGTGTGGTGGCTGAAATGTAATTATGATACAAATTAGATTTATTTTTGTGCGAATTGTAAATAGATTATTGTCATCTTGACTTTGTTACTATATTCAATGGATACAAGAAGTTTGTATTTTTAATATATAATTTATGTACAGTGACATAGTTTTAGTTAGACATTCAAAAGCAATAAGTTTAACAGAAAAATTGTTATTTGATTAAAGTATGATGGTTTTAATTTATTTTAGTTGGGCAGTAGTTATGTAAAATATTCAACAATATCATAATAAGTAATATCCAATTAAGTACTTAACTATTTTTTTATGTAATGCAGATGAGAACGCCACGATAATAAATAACAATCAAACACCCAAAGTGTAACATGCACACAATAAACCACAGTGTGGTTTAATATATGTGATGGATGAGGATGATGCGACCACGGATGCAGTTGACGCCATGGATGTCCATTTAGTGACAGTAACGAATTTGCTAAACTCAGCCAATGTGTGACCTGACAGCTGACGGTATTGCAAAATTTATTAAAGTAATAATACTACTTAATTTTCATCTAAAGGCACTTGTTCGGCATTCTATTTGTATGTTTGCGATAATCTCAAAAACGACTTAACGTATTTCAAAGCAATTTTAATTTGTCTACAGAATAATTCCTGACGATGGTTTAGGTGTATAATATAATATTATACTTCTCGTGAGAAGCCTGGTAGGTTCCCTAGTTATAAATAAATTTAATTTTAACAAATTACCTAGTAATTACATGATACTGCTTATATTAAATAAGTAATTTACTCAAAATTAAGTGGTAGGTTTATGTTACTAGTCAATTTGGAGTAAATTCATAGATAGATACGCAAATTTAGTAGTGTTTTGAAATACAAAACACTTTATTATAAAAATGCTAATTAATAGTGTAAAAATTTTTTTATTTTAAAATTGCATTTGCAAAATCTATATTTATATCGGTGTTGCTGATGAAGCGGATTTTGAAATTTTCGCTGACTAATTCAAATTTAGATTTCAACTTTTTTTAGTTGATAAATGTTCCCTTGGACCTAATTAGCAAAAAAATATTTTACTCACCAGAAATCTTAAGTTCTTCAGTGGCGGCGAAGCGTAAGGTATACCCATGAATCCAAAATATTGGATATTCTCTAACAAAGTCGTTAAAACTTTTCCTTGGACTTTGCCATGAGTAGTTACAACCTCTGGTACTTCACCATAGACAATAAACACAGAGGTCGTTAAAACAGTAATAATTTTACGAATAAACATTATGCATATTAATTTACGTACGTGTTGTTGGAATTGTTGACTATAACTAGGCTGTAACTTGTGATATCGGCTATCAAAATTAATCGGAGGGCCATAAAATCCATCGCTATAGATATTACGGTCTTCTTTGTATATAGATTTGCGTATAAGGATTTTAGTCAATTGAATGAACAATTTATTAAATTACATAGATTACAAGAGAGCGCGAAATAGAAGCTGAATATAAGTATCCAATATCTTCATGTAAACCTAACGAGTTCTATTTTTTACGGATACTGTGATTTTGCAAAGAACATGTCAATCAGATTTGAAGGTGTTTCGAAGAGGAAAGTATGGATTGTATTATACTAGATAAAATCCGCGACTTCGTCTACTTTTTTGAGATAAAAGATGACCCATGTTTGCCCTTGTCATATCTCTTTGTATTAAATTCTGCCGCTTAGCTATGAGAAGGTACTAAATAGACAGTGAGAAAATCTTTCAAATTTATAATATTCGTATGAATTAAAGAATATCGTAATATTTAATTCACTTTATGTCATATATTGACATAAAGTGAATTAAAACAAGAAACTTTAGAACCAAGAAAATATTGTTATTATGTTGTTAATGGGATTTCATTTCTATTAATCATCATCTGCTTATTCCTTATCCCTTTTATTTGAGGTCGGCGTCATATGTTTTTCTCTTTCATTCATCCCTGTTCGCAGTCATCTCGTTATTTACTGACTTTCTTACCATCTCATCTTTCACACGCTCCATCCATCTCCTTTTCCGCCTTCCTTTGCAGTTATAACCATACACATTCCAAATATTATCTTTATCTCTAGCCGTTATCTCATTTATATGTATGCAAGGAAGCTATACCAAGTCAAGTCGATTTCCACGTGGTCACTATGGAAACCACCATGGCTAATAATGATTTCATTCTCATACTTTACCGGTACAGCCAGGGTGCTGCTACTACAACTGCTAAACAGTAATCCTTCAGCTCCTCCGGGGCAGGCGATTCTCCATGACGATTTTCTTCAGGTAAAAAAAGGTGCATGCTGACGGAACAAAAATATTTGTAAGAGTACAAATATTGATTAATTCCCCAAAACTGTTATGCTTCGATCAACAAATATATTCTTAAGTATGACTGTTCAGTATTGTGCACATACGAGTATATTTATAAACTCACCGTGTACCATTAGTGTATATTTATTTATTTAATAACCACTAGATGAAAAAATCAAGCTTTAAATAAAAAACGTAACTTATTAGTTGTTTATTATCAATGTACCTATAATATAGTTTTAACATGACCTTCAGTTTAATTTTTCTTCAAAATAAAATGTAAAGACGTAGAAAGGAATGAATTGAAGTGAATTATAATTTACCACACTGTTGGTTATATTTTGAAAACATTTTCACGGATTTTAATATGTTATTAGTAATGACGTGTCTTTGATATTAGATGTTACTATATACTATTTATCTACATTATGAATGTTTTGTGAATTGATAGTGTGCGTACAGTTAAGTTGGTTATGTATTATTGTGTAACGCTAGTGATTTCTTTATTTATTTGTTTATCTTCAAGTGTATATGACGTTAATATTAAAATAAATAATAGCACAATATTGGGCAAAAAGTTTTATACTATATTTGATAATAAACTATATGTGGCTTTTTTTGATATCCCCTATGCAGTAGCGCCTCGCCAGGAGTTAAGATTCAAGGTAATATTATAAAATATTTATAAATTGAAGGAATTGTAATTGTGTATGTGATATAATAATATTTATTGTTTAATATGATATTGTAGTAAAATTAGGTTGTTTAGTTATACCACAGATAATATTAGCTTATCTGTGGTAATAGACTGTATGCAAACTTCATATAACTATTTCGGTGGTCTAACGGTGCTATCACACATACTTCCGATGGTCGCGGATACGATGTGCATTATTTGTGTATTTTTGGAATTTATGTATTAACAAAAAATGTATTCATGTATATTTTTTAGTTATTTAGTACTCATAAAGCAAGCTCTGCTTAGTTTAAGGGTAGACGACACTATGTGAATTGTTCTGGTATATTATTATTATAATGAGATTAATTACGATAAGAGTACTCGCGTTGTGTCTCCATATAGTAATATCTTCCAATTGTTTGGAGACAATATAAAGTATTTTATACAGCAATTCATATTTATTTTCAGCCACCAAAAGAATGTCAAATTTGGAATAATAAGAATCAACATTATTATTATAATAATGAAACTCTCCTAAGTAAACAATATGAAGATTGTTTATATCTTTCAATATATACTCCTCATGTAAATAAACCAGAGCTTCACTTACCAGTTATTGTATGGCTTCATGAACAGTCTAAATGCCATGCACCCGATTTTTTTATAGAAGAAGAAGTTATTGTGGTGACTATTTCATACAGAACATCTATATTTGGATTTTTGAATACAGAAGATGACTTCGCTAAAGGTAATATGGGAGCGAAGGATATATTGTGTGCACTGAAATGGTTAAAAAATAATATTAAATATTTTAATGGTGATTCTAATAGAATTACTGTGATGGGATCAGGTAAAGCAGCTATATTGGTGGCATCTCTATTGGCGACAAGTACTGCGGAAGGTCTATTTACTAGAGTAATTATTCAAAGTGGGTCGGCTCTTTCGCCGGCTGATTATAGAAATTCAAATTTTGATATTATGAACAAATTATACTGGAATTTAAACGGTCCTTTCGAAAGATTGAATAGAAAAAGACTTTATGAAATTCTTACAAATGCTTCCGTAAGCAATTTGTTATCAGCATCACAAGATCTTTTTGATGGAACGGAAGTTAGAAATAATCAAAGATTAATCAATACATTCGGGCCCACAGTCGAAACTTCAAAGCAATCTTTTATGAATAGATCTCCTTTAGAAGTGTATAAAAGAAAATTCACAAATAACAATGTCGAAGTAATGATGGGATATACCAGTTTGGAATCTCTCTATAAATTACAAGGTTTCGCGAACAACAAAAAACTTTTGAAGTATTTAAATCATAACTTCCAATATATATTGCCATTCGAAGGAAAGAAAGACGAATATGGTTCAAAGCGTTATACGAAAATAAGAGAGAGAATAATGGATTTTTATTTCGTTAACGGAACGATCGGGGAACGGAGCTTGAGACGATATGCAAAATATGTTTCAGATCAAGTTATCTATCCATTGCTCCGCCAAGCGAGACTACACGTCGAAGTGTCAAGCAATAACGTTTACTTGTACAGATTTTCATTTAAAGGCTCCCTCAATACCAGTTGGAATTCTTCTGTACGAAATTTAGATTGGCCTGGTGCGACGTCTGGCGACGAAATCTGTTACCTATTCAAATGCAAATCAGTAAACGACGCTTACAATAGCTTGGCAGCGTCAAATGAAAGGCACTTCATTAAGAAAATTGTGAGGTTATTGGCGAATTTTGCTAAATACGGGTAAGCGTAATTTTGGGAACACTGAATTTTAATCAATTGACTTTGGCACAGTGTGCAAAGCAACTATGATGCTTTGCACACAATCTATATTTCTATAAGATTGTTAATCATATTATACACTACCTATCTGTCTCGACTTCGCACAAGTGTACATCTATTATAAATATAGACCTTTCTCTTGAATCATCTATCTATTGCTAAAAACTGCATTAAAATTCGTTGCCGACTTCATTTTATACTATGAAAAGAAGATAATATCGCTGTATCGTTTACCCCCAGTAATGTCTTTTATCAGTAGATTGTCTTATTCACCACCACCACTAATGCTGCTGTCACTAGCTACTGTCACTTGTGATAACTGTCGCCTACATACCTACAAGCTTACAAGGCTAGGTACTTGGTGGCTAACCGGGATACAGGAGAGACCGAGCTATCCACGAAGATTACTTTTTACGACTCGAGTTTTGTTGGTGTACTAATTGTTATTCCGGTTCAAATTCTATCACAATTATTATATCTCAGTATATAATAATTGTGTTGTTGACTTGAGTTTATGATAAATTAAATTATAGCTAAATAAGCTAGCGAATAAATTATATTATTTGTTTCAGAAATCCTACGCCAAAATTCTATGATGACATTCTAGGTGATTTGCAGTGGACACCGTTGCTAATGGACAAAACAATGAGAGGGATGAATTTGGGTCAGAAACTTAAAATAGTTAGCGTACCAGAGCATAAAAGAATGAAGTTTTGGGACGAGTTGAAAACTGATTTTTTTCCCGAGAAACCCCTGAATGAAGAACTAATATAATTTATAACATGAAGGTTATGGACATGTATTTAATTAGACAAATTAGTATCAATGAATGTCTTTTTGAATTTGGTACAAACTAAAGTGGTTGTGTCAGTGGATTGCGTTGTTTAGCACACCACTTTAATTCCGATAATCACGGCTTCGATTCTTGGCACGGTACAAACATCACTGTTTGTATCGGTCTTTGTTTATATATAATAATAAAATGTATTGAAGTATTTATATCAGTTGTCAAGTACCCCAAGTGACACAAGCTCTACTTAGCTTGGCCATCGCCATCTAATGGCGTTGTGGAGTTTTCCAGGTATTTTTATTATTGTTAAACCGTGCCTGTTAAAACTTATATTCTTCATAATAAGCCCCGCGCCCCAACTTTTAACAAAAATTCTAGCTACTCCCATATTGTCTAGTGATGTCCACAATACTCTTAATGTTTATAAGCGACGGTTACTACGTTACACATTTCATCAGCTGTCAGCTTCTTTGTTATTTCAAATCTTATAAAAAATTACAAACGACGGAGTAAGTAATCCTTAATTCTGTCTTGTAATCAATGAATTGACTACACCAATCAACTAATGGTCGCTTTATAGTTTTGTACGAAGTTGTTACAGATCTTTTATGCGTACCGACATTACGAATTTGATGGTCACACTGTAATTAAAAGGAAGTGCTTTCAAATAACATTACCTCTATGTATAATTACCTGATGTTATTGGTTTCACTCCACACTGTAGGCAACCAAGTTATAGGTGCTTTGCAAATATTGTGCACAGTGTCGAGCATCGTTTGTATGTAACTAAATTGCAGAACTTCACTACCCCCTGGAGGTAGAGCGCCCCCTGGGGGACGTGGAGAGATGTCAATATTGTTAGCACGTAAATTAAATATCAATTTATAAATCTGAGTCCGCTGAGACCATAAGAATTTAAAAAAGGAATATGGATAAATATTATAGAAAAAAGTTACCAGTGAACTTCAAAAATCAAAATTAAATATAACACACAATGTAATTAACACTATGCATATTAAGACTATAACAACATAAAATCGTTGTAAAAAGAATGCAGTTTCATATAAATATATTTGATTATAATTGAGACGGAATTGCATATAATGTGAAATCATTATGTTAATCTTTAAAATACATGCAAATATGTTTAAAAAAATGGCATCACAGTTTCATACAAAAAATAGTTACTAGATTATTATTATTTATATTAATAGACTAGAATAGTATTGCAAGTCTATTATTTTATTCGACTAAAAATCGTAGCCTACTATTTTATATTTTATTATTAGATATTGCTTCTATATCTACGAGCAATAATAATAAAACCTGCAGTTGAAATCGTTTTCTTATTTTCTTCCTTTCACACGGAAAATAATTTTCTTTTACTCAAGACCCGTAACGTAATATTGTATTATGGTGTCCATTTTCCGAATTTCTAAATAATAGTGTCGACTAAGAAAAAGCATTCGTATGGAAGAAAATATCGCGTCATCGCATCAAATAAATGACATTTCCCCAAAATATAAGATTACAATAGAACCACAGAGTAGAGAGAGTGGTTTAGGCTGTTATTATATTTAAAAGCTGTACTGTTTTTCTGCTAGTTTGGCGATCATATAAAAGAAAAATCTCCACACAAAGACTACACTATTTTATTTTTGGATCATGTAATTTGTCCGAGGTGCCTTTTGTTTCATCCCCGATTGTTTGATTCTTTATTTGTTTTCTTACATACAAAATACGTTTATAGTAACTATACCGGTAAAGTACTTATTAAGGTATCTGTTGCAGATATATAACAAAGAGAAATTAATCAATATATACTAAAAAGGTTTTATATAAAATTTATATATATATACATATATATACAAGTTTATCAAGAAGTAAGCATATCATATAATCAGTACAACATACAACGATGTTCTGTATAGATCTTGGTACTTTATATGACGAATTATTAATACTTGAATCTGTGTGGTGACGGTGTAAGAACTCTATGTTCCACATTCTTATTCATCTTCAGAATGTATAAGATATGGTTATACTACGTGTAGTACATACTACACTAGCTGATAATAGGATTTTAGTTTACTCTTACGTTGCTGTAGGGTAACAAACAATTCCTATGGCATATATATAGCATCCGGTCTCACCACCATGACAATGACAGGCTATCTCATTCTCATATGTACCTCGTACTACAATGAACTCTGCTTAACATTGGGTCGATAATATTTAATAGAACGACGACTGATTTCCGGAACGCTACCTTGATTTTTTATACTAGGTTATAATACTACTAATATTTTTAAAGAATAATTGGTGCCCACTGCTGACTGTCTTACCAGTGTCCAAAACATCCAAACTTGTCTTTAACAGCAATAATATTATTGTGAGTATTAGTCAATGATCTCCTTTTTAAAGTAGCATCAGGACTGTAATCGTTCAATTTGGGCATTGCAATTACTGAACTGTTCAGCAGCACTGATTGTATTGGAGTCACGTACGAAGAAAGTAAGAAAGATGGTCGTGAACTTTAAATTTCCACTGTGACAAGAATAATTCTCAAATAATACTTCTGAGTAACATTCAGCAGGCGCTTTGTCCAATCAAGGTTTGAAATCTGGTGCATATCTAGAGCGTTTGACTACTTTTGAAGAAACTTCACAGTATCGGCATAACGGTGAGTTGACCACGACTTTTTTTATGTAATTGGAAAACAAGTTAACGGCCCACTTAATGGAAAGTGGCTACTGTTGTTTATAAATGAATGAATTAAATGGTCCCCGGAATGCAGTGTCATTCCTGAAGATTAAGGATAAGAATAATAAGGATTAAGACTTTATAATAAAAAAAAATAAAATCTCATGTTATACCTTAATTTAATATAAGTAAGCTAAACTAGCTGACTAATATAAACATCTGCTTCAGTGCAGAAATGGGTGACGCAGAGGTACTAACACAGACCAATACACTTCATACAAAGTGTAACGTCTATCCAAGTAATTTCAAATGTGATTATAGTAACATTCAACAGATGTTTTGTCCAATTAAGGCTCGAAATCTGACGCATGTAGCGTATGACTTCATTGCGAAACTTTATGGCATTGACATAACTGTGAATTGGCCAGGATAGAACTCCGGCATAGTTAATAAGACTCGGCTTGGTTTATGTTGAGCAAAGTTATGATTCTAGTCAATGTTGGAATATTGTGCGGAAAGCAGAGTATAGCATGTAATCATACATTACGATACAGAATAAAAATGCACGTTCTGTTATGTGTTGTGTAACATACATAATATAACGTAAGGTAACATACACAATACTATAAAAATATCTCAAGACAATTCACACAACGCCATCTAGTCCCAAGCTAAGCAGAACTTGTGTTATGGGTACTAGACAACTGATATAAATACATGGATGCAAATGTTTTTTTTGTAAATAAATACATATTATACATAGAAAACACCCAGACCGATACAAACAATCATACTCATGAATACAAATGTTTGTACCGTGCGAGGAATCGAACCGGCGACCACCGGTTTTTAAAGCGGTATGCTAAACCACTAGACCATCGAGGCTGTTAAATGTATATGTACTATAAAAATATCTTGTTTTTATTACATTATTTCGCAAAATGTCTAAATTACATTAATAAATTTAAGCCATATCGAGTAAGTATTATTTATGAATTTAAATTATTAATAATAAACTAATTTTCAAATATTCCCTGCATGAACTTGAGTTCGAATAATTTTGTTAATATTAATTACACATGAGTGAAGCGTGCTCTAAATTTGGATTTCATATTTTATTATGAAAATGGGTAAATGCTATGAAACAGTTTGGAGTTTGGATGAGTACAATTAGTTTCCGGTTTCAGTATCTATGTATATAGAATGTGATTTCTATGAACTCTTATATGAATTCAGATATATCGAAAATATTGGTGAATTATAAGACACTCATCAAGTCTTTTGTTTAACCTGATGATCCTTTAGGAAGTATTTTTGATACTCGCGACGTTATTGATCCTTTTTATATGGCATAGTATATGTAGTTATGAATGTGCAGATTTTTTTGGTATTTTATAATATGGTATATTTTAACGAGTTGTTTCAGAATATAAGATAGAAAAACGAATTGAATTATGGCGAAATCGGTCTTTCGCGAACTCGATACTCGAAATACGAATTGAGAGGGTATATAAAAGTTCTTACTAAATTCGTAGCCATTTAAAACGATTTTTATTTGATAAATGAATAAAAATTAAGTTATATTATTTCTTTATTATCACAATTGCCAATTGTTATTACAATAATACTAGATATATTGCAAATATAAAGTTTATATAAAAATAAAATTAGCGTCTAATCAAGTGTCATTGTTCCGAAAGTTACTTGGGCGGATACAAAGAAAATACGACAAAAGCCGAGCAGAACAGCTGCCATTGAGCTGAGGGTCCATTGTTCCACATTTAAGTCCTTTAATTCGTATTTTACCTGGTGTTTATTAAGAAACAGCTATTTTTCCGGCGTAATAAGAATTTCTGATATACCATTCATATAACTTTGATAAAATGTCATATGTGATAGTAAACATATTTGTTGCTTGAACTGGTGGTAATTAATTTACGTATGTATGTAGCCGACATTCCCATACTAAATATTAAAATGCTAAAATGTTTTAGCCGCTTATGAACAAGTTTTTTGTAATGTATACTTTTTCCACTAACGATATTCAGATTCGATTGAGAAGAACTCGCTATAAACTCAACTTTATATATTTTTTTTAAAAAAGCCAGTTTATTTACATTTATGCTCATATAGCATAAATGTAAATAAACTGGCTTAGCACATAATAAACAGCTTAGCTTAGCAGCAGCATCTAACATTAAATAAAATCTCGTGATGAACGACTGTTGAGATATGCAGTAACTATTGTATATTTGAAAATCAGATTTAATGTCCTTTTTAA